ATGGAACCTATTGCACGAATCAAGTTTGATATGGGTTACCGTCCCCGGGTTATTCTCACCAAGATAGTTTCTGAAAACTGTCCTCTGGTGTCCCATGCATCATGTGTAAAGCAGCCACCTTTTCCCTATGTGCCTTGCTGTAACTTATTTGGACACCGAGCTCACGTTCCATGTCACGTGCAATAGTGCTCGGATCATACGATCGGTTTGGATTATCCAATTTTTCCAAAATGTGCTCAACAATTACAGAACTCGTTGCATGTCGATGCGCATTTGTATGTAACTCGTTCCCCATCCTCAACGACAATATACTATTGCATGAGGTTGCATTGGTTCGACGTTCATAAAATCATTTCTGCATTGTTTTACAAATGTGCTCGATCAAGCACGTGATTGGCAACGAACGGGCATGTCTCAACATTGAGTTCAATGATTCTGCGTTGTTGTTTGTCATGATGTTGTACCGACGCCCAAGAATAGTGCTCGTGACCAGAATGAAAAATCGGCTTGCTCCAAATACCCGTAACATTTTTCGCTAACCCTACGAATCTGTCACATTAGTCGTTCGAACTCTTCGACCCGATAAGTTGTAGTAGCTCGTTTGAACAAGAATATTGAACTTGCGTTAAAGTGTCGCTGGATTAGGTTCTTTTCCACACGCCACATACAACAACCATGATGAGACAAAGGAAATAAGTGAGTAATAGCTCTTTCGATACTTCTTTTCCTGTCCGAAACAAATACAAGTTCATCTGAGTTGCCTATAAGATATTTCAAGTTAGACATAAACCACATCCAAGATGTGTTTGTTTCGGAATCCATGATCCTCAACGCTATGGGATAATTTATTTGTTGGCATCTTAGACAGTTGCCAATAAAAGTGTACCCTTGTATGGACCTTCAAGTGACTACCGTCAATGCAAACAACGGGCCTCAAGTACTGCATGTAACCATAAATGCTGCACCAAAAGCTAGGAAGAAGTAATGGAACCTATTGTGCGAATCAAGTTCGATGTGAGTTACCGTCCCCAGGTTATTCTCACCAAGATAGTTTATGAAAAGTATCCTCTAGTGTCTCATGCAGCATGTGTAAAGCAGCCACCTTCCCCCTACGTGCCTTGTTGTAACTTGTTTGGACACCAAGCTCACGTTCCATGTTACGTGCAATAGTGCTCGGATCATACGATCGGTTCGGATTATCCAATTTTTCCAAAATGTGCTCGACAATTACAGAACTCGTCGCATGTCGATGCGCATTACTGCGACAATCGATGGAACATGTGTGAATATTATTGAATTTACGGATCACAAAGATTGCAGACTGCTTCACAGTAGAAGCACGTAACATCCACTTGTAGCTGCTGTCAGTGCATACAACGGTTAACATCTTCATGCTTGACCTGCTCACCCGAAATTGGAACTTGTCTTTCAAACAAGTGCACGAATTGTCGAGTACAACTGTTTCTTGCTGAAGAATATTTTCTTTTCGACAATATCGGATGTCTTCACAGTTCTCGTCAATTCATATCCATTCGAGCCGTTGGAATGTGCCGAAGCCTGCTCGTCGTCGACGTCAACAGAATTAGCATCCTCTAAACTAGGTGATGGGTTATCCAAGTTCTCATCTGATGGTGTAGTCCCTTTATCATACTTGTGTGTTTCAGGTGCATTATTGTTTGACACACTATGCATTCGATTCACCAAATCATGTTCCACGTTCTGCAGAACATCCACTACGGCAAATGAAGGATCTTGAAAATTTGCATCCCTTCCCATGTCAACACTTGGGAGATCGGACTCCAAAACAGTAACGCAGATAGTAGTTTCCTTATGCACTGATATGTACCAATTTAAGTTTTCATTGTCTCGTATTTCGGCCGAAGATATATTCAAGTTAGGGACTTTAAACTTCATTTCAATTTGGGCATAATGATCAACAATATCAAGTTTCTCCTTCAACCTTAACAAAAGTTCGGCTACGGTAATACTTGTTGGCACCAAAATGGAAGTAGTTTTGTCCCCTCTCCACTTCCATTCGTCATCCATATGAACAAAATTTTTCCCATGCGGCACGATGAATCCCAACTAATCACTCATACTTGAAATGTTGGGATCACAATGGTAAGAATTCAGAATCAATATGTTCGCATTTAATAGGATGAAAATCGCACTGCATAATACGTAAATCAATACAATAGCAAAAGGTCAAATCAAGGGTTTCCATCATTTTGAAGTGTCCAAATTGAAAGTAAAATTGTATAACATGACAGTTTGTAAATGTCGGGTTCGACATCTCAAACATCTAACCTGACGATTTGTAAATGTCGAACTCGACAGTTAAACTATCGACAATGTTGGGAAGCAGACGGTAGTGGATTTCTCAGGCTTCTTCAACACATCACATTAAGTGTGGTCATTATTATTCAGCTACCAAATGACAAAATATAAATGACATTTGGGCCTTGTCATTAAAGAGACCTTAATGATGGTAATGGAAGAAATTACTCAAAACCTTAACGATGGTAATGACATTTTATGAAGGATTCCAAAACCAAACAAAATATGCATAATACTTCCAAAAATTTCAAAGAAATTTGCCCATGTTGTATTTAACATGTACGAATAAAAAGTTATAAAAGTAAAATATAAAAAATTTGTAATTGTTAACCTCTCAAAATAATTGAAGAATGCAACCAAATGTCTTCTTGATCAATGAAAATGAAGAAGATGGAGAAAATGTAGGGTTTCTTGTTTATGTTACTTTTTCAAAATTTTTTGATCATTTTTTATTAATAAAAATTCATATTAATCAATAAAAAATACATTTCTCCATAGGTGATTTGGACTTTGCACCCCAAAAATGTGACATTTTTGCTCACAAAAAGTGAAAATGACAAATTTTTTGGAACTTTCATTTTTAGTGACATTTTTGTAAATTTCCCTATATTTTATATACTCATTTTGATCTAAAAATATAGACATTTAATTGTTCGTTTGAACAATTATATCTAATTTAATATATATTTCATTTATAATGTGAAACTCAATGAATGAAAGTAAAATTGAAAGAAGTGAAAATTAGCAAAAAAGTGCAAGATCTAAAGTTTGGGGACTAAAGTGTAAATATTCAAAAGTTGTGTCGGACCCACGATGAAGATTCGAGAATGCTACTATCGATTGGATACATTTAGAAATAAAAAAAATGAGTGAAATATGATCAAGATATTTTCACAAATTAATTTTCAACCGCACAAGTATATTCCAGATTTTTAGTTGGGGGTTGAAACTCATTTTTGACTTAGTAGATGTTTGAATTGGAAAAAAGTTACATCTAGTAAAATTGTAACCTTTTGAGCTATTTTTACAACCTAATTTAAATAACCTTAATTGGATATCAAGAGTAAAAGATATGATAAAAATATTAAAGGATGTACAATGCTGAAATTTTAATCAAGAGGCGCCATCCACGATGCCTTTACGGCTCTGCAGCGCCTAGGCTCTGCTGCCATAGTTTAGAATAAGATTTTTTTGGCACGTTTAAAGCCTAGAAAGACTCTCAATTCGAGAATAACATTAGATGAAGTATAAATACATTGGAAGAAGCACTTTTGAAGGGTTACACACTTTGAGAAATAAGCGATACAACTTGAAAATTTGGTGAGCAAATCAAAGGAGATATACATCAAGAAATCAAGGTTTTGAAGATTGATTGGGACAAGAAGATCATCTTGGTGCAACATTCATCCATTTATTTTCATCTTTATTTAAAAATCCAGTTATTTAATCAATGAATATCTATTATTTTTCTTCGTACATTATGAGTAGCTAAATCTTTATTGGGGTAAACAATTTAATTTACTCGTGACACTTTATTCTTCTATTCAAGATTCTAATTCTTTAAAAAACACACGTGTTGATTTTATTTATGAGTTGAATCTTGAATTACTTGGCAATAATTCAATGATTTTGTAAGTCTATTACGAATCGAGATGTGGGTTTTAGATTTAGATCACATAGTAAAATCTAATAATTTAGTATAAAACGTAGAGATACTTATATTACATATTGCAGTCGTTACATGAATTTTTAGAACATAATTACATTTAATTAAGAATGATTTACTTAGAAATATGAAATTGCATTAGTTAAATAAACTCAACGAGAATTAGAAAAGGGTAAATTGAATACGATAAATAATTCGATCGAGCACTACACTAGATCCGTGAATCTTGATTTAAGAATTATATATAATCAATTTATGAAATTATGAGCCCGAATATTCATTCCATACTTGAAACCGAGATTCAAGTTTTGTTGCATTTAGATACATTCTGGTTATTAGTAATAGTTAGATCAAACAATCATAAAAATCATACTTAATTTCATTAATCCAATAGAATTTAGTAGTAAATTAAATATTAAATTATAGTTCTCTTGGAAACGATAACATAGATTCAAAGGTACAGTATATTACTTATTACGATATCGTACACTTGCGATAGAAAAAAACAACAAGAGCTTTGGTTTTTGGCATTTTATTGTGTCCTTTTTGAATTAATTACTAGTGTTTGTCGATAGTCAATATATTTTTAATCGTGAAACTAACCTACAAAAAGACCACGCAGTCAATATATAATGAAAATCACACTACTGTTTGGCATATGAGAAAGGATCACACATAATTGCATGAGAAAGAATAAATATTTAAATTTTGCCGAAATACCCGAAAATGCTTGACCGATGGAGTAACATCCTCTCACATTGCCGCGGGTCCCATTTGAATAAAAAAATGCCGGCCTTCGTGTATGTGTATATTCGGTCAAGCTTCATATCATAGCCTTTGTTGCTGTAGCTTCGTCTTAAATATTTATAGGACAACAATGTCTATAGAAGTCTAATATAGGAACTAACAACCCTTAAATCCTAAATATATATCCGTGGTTATACAGAGGAGATATTATGGTTTTGAAGCAAAATTCCCAACAATGCAATTAAAAGCATTAAATAATAATTATTGGTTTATAAACTTCACCATAATATAATCGACATATCCAAAAGAATAATGCTATTTAGTATCATTGGTGTTACGACATTAATTTAGGTGGTACCAAGTGTGTGCAATTAAATGAATCACCTAATCACAACTTTTTTGAACCTATCACATAATGCCATATAAACTGATGCTCTAACATCTCTAGTGTTATATAGCATTATTCTATGAAAACGCACTTCTTTACTATCATCAATTCCCTGTTAAAGGTGCTGATTGGCGCCGCTCAGCAGCTGCAACCAGCAACTTGCGGAATTTTATATTGTGCTCAAGCAAATTTTGTGTAGGCGGCATGCATTCCTTAAGAGCAGGAACTTCAACCACATTGCTAAACCATGCAATGAGCCGGGGCATTTTCTCTTCATCGATAAGCTTTACGCTTAATATTTCCTCTATAATTCGAGCCCAGCATCCCATCCATGCAGCAGCAATGTCTACAAATCCAATTGTTTCGCCTCCAAAGAAGCGTTTCCCCTCCTCAAGCGCATTTTCTAAGGTCCTTAAATGCTCACAAGCGTCTTTTACACACTTTTCCTGCTCCTCTCCAATCTTGAAGAATGAGTTTATCATTGGCGCTATGCACTGGACAAATCAAGAAAAACAAAATAAGTAATCAACTACCATAATGTTATTTAGTATCTTAGTCAGCTTATTACCTTTTCATGGGCAAATTTAGCCCAGAAACGCGACTTGGCCCTTTCATAAGGATCTTGAGGCAGGAGTGGATTCTGCTTCCATGTTTCATCAATGTACTCGATTATCACGAGAGACTCTACCAATGGTTTCCCATTATGCAGCAGCACCGGTACCTTCTTATAAACCGGGTTGCACTGCAGCAACAGGGGGCTCTTCTTCAAAAGATTTTCTTCCTTGTATTCGTATTCAATACCCTTTAGCTTTAGTGCCCAACGAACGCTAAGGACAAAAGGGCTCCCCCAGAATCCTATCAACTGGACTAATTCCTTCTCTGGTGCCATGTCATTACTCCTTGTTGAGGAATTCCATTTGTTGGTTTTTATATATAAAAGACATGATACCAACTGGTTGGGTCAGCTTCAATTTCTGTACGCATACAAATGTCAATTATTTGGGCTGGAAAAGTAAATGGCGGTGAAAGCATTAGCTGCCTACCGTGTTAACCAAGTCCTTCAGTCTTTCTTTGGAATTCAAACATCAAATACTACTAAAATGCTACATTTTCCAAGTCTACAATCTGAAAATTCAATGCCCAGAGTCTCATGGTACGTAACTTCACCCAACAAAGCATCATAGTTGACAGTCATACTAATAATTTAGCGTCTTTGCTCATTGACTAGTATGTGATGTTACAAAGAATTCGTCGAGTACATTCTCCTGTTCTAATGATCTAGTTGTATAAAGATGCAATTATATCCTAGATATTGCTTGTGGCTTGCCTTGTGGATTTGTTACCACCTGAATACCCTCACCTTACAAGTTAGTTTTAAAGATGAATTCTGCCCAACGTGACTGTTACAATTAGTATCATAGCAAGCACCCCATCTTGGAGAAGAGAGGTTCACATTGCCCACAGAGCAACTTGAAGACGACTACTTCCAAGATAAGACTGATTTCGTAAAGTCAACCACCTGGTAAAAATAGGCAAGGATGTTGGTCAAGGGGTGATATATAACAATCCAATTGTATTTGTGAGTTTTTAGCCAATTAAGCATCCTCCCTTTACAAGCCACCAGTTCTACAGGCAAGTCCCTCCAATACAAGGAATAGAATCAAATTAAAACATGTAACGTAACGATTGTATCACCCAGAATGATTAGATAAGCCACATCTAACAATGATTACAGGGTATACTTGTTCGTAGTCCAGGACAATTGTTCAAAGTTACTGATAAGCAGTGAATACTAGGAAACGAGACTACAAATATGAGAAACATTTTTTCATAGTAAATAGCTGAGATACATTAGTAGATCTAGCCTAAAAAATATTATTGGGGGCAAGGGTTATCAGTATTAGCCTCTCAAAATAAATACCAGAGTTCCAAAACGATTTAACTTATTTAGCTGCTGGAGGCTGTGCTAACTGCTGCAGCTGGTGGACAACATGAGACATTCTAGGACGCATGGACGGGACATGCTGCGTGCAAGAGTACACAAGGTCCACCACTTTCTGGACAGTTCCAACTTCGGGGATTTGAGAAGAAGAGGACGATGTTATAAGAGGATCCAAAAGCTCAAGATAGCGATGAGCTTGCACCAGTGGTGTAGCCCACTCAAATATGCTTTGCCAACCTACTGAATCAACAGCTTGTGCTGGTCTACGTCCACTGATGATTTCAAGTAAAAGCACCCCAAAGCTGTATACATCACTCTTCGTTGTAAGCTCATTTCTATAGACAAACTCTGGAGCAAGATATCCATGAGTGCCACCGGCCATGACCCTCCTTTCATGCATCACTTCCCAAGGAACAAACTTTGATAGGCCAACTCCCATTAGATGGGCACCGAAGTCTTCATCAAGAAGAACATTACTTGCCCGGACATCATGATGCACAACTTGTGGCTTAACCTTGTCGTGGAGGAACCTGTTACCATTCATGAAATGAGTGAGATAACAGTAACAAACACTTCAACTACAACTCAGAATTTTGGAATATCAAACAAAGCTGCAGGTAAAATATAGTTGATCTAGGCAGATCACCACATGGGTGCTCATTCTTGGTAGATAGCCTAATCTAGGCCAAATGGTTTTATTTTCTGTATCTATTGATTCCTATATTGCATATAATACTTGTACTGATTCCTATATTGCATAGAATACTTGTACCATAAATGAATTTTCACCTTCTATTCCACACCATCGCACTCTTGAAAGACAGTACAAGTTAACAAAAATCCACATACAGAAACCTCATTAAATATATACAACACAAACAAATGAACAGAAAAGGAAAAATATAGAATTGTACACGGTATTTCACTTCTCTGGAGGAAATACAAAAACAACGAGAGACTAGGACCAATGTTTTATATCTCGCTAGACATGGGCATACACACATACTAAATACCATAACAGCTAAGCAAAGATTTTGAAAACTGCTTAGGAAAAGGGGGAAGGAGGTGCACAGATATCAATATGCAATTTTGCAGCCTAGAGCCAACCGCTATATGAATGCTAATATGAACACAAACTGAAAATCAGAAAGGTCCAAGTGAATGATTCCAAAAGATATCCTAAAGAAAATGGTTTAGAAAATAATTGCATATAAAAGTATCTTCAGATTTTTTATTATTTTTTTATTTTTATTTTTTCTGGGTAGTGAAAGACAAAATTTTGAGAAAGTTACTTACGCTATCCCTTGGGCAAGAGTCATGGCAACTTTCATTCTCATGGCCCAATCCAAACTCCTAGCCCCTCTAGGAATATGATGTAGCCATCTATCTAAAGGTCCATTCACAATAAACTCGTATACAATGTAACGATCACCATGATCATAGCAACACCCTTTAATAGCAACCAGATTTGGATGATGGAGTCTTGCAACCCTTCCAATCTCAGAATAGAACTCTTTTTTCCTCTGAAAGCTAGATCTCTTCAGCCTTTTAACTGCCACCCTTGATCCATCTAGCAAAAGGCCACTATACGTGCCCCCTGTTTTGGCATCCCCAAGAAGACGGTTTCCTTCACTGAAATTCTTTGTAATTGACTTCAGTTCCTCACGCGTAAAAACTTTCCATGAGGGCAGAACTAATGCCAATTCAGCTGGATTGGATAGCTTGCGAGATCTTTTACGCCTTTTATTACGTCTATACACAAGGAGCCATATCACAACAGCTAGAGTACTGCAGAGTATCAAGCCACTCACAACAGCAAGAATGACAAGATATTCCCTGTGGCAGTGCATATGATGACATTTGTTCTCTGAAATCTCAAAATGATGCAAAAATTTGAGTCAAATATTACTGGCGACAGAACTCTGAAAAGCAATTACAAGTGAAAATGCATAAAGAATAGATAAAAAGAACAACTTACTACTACTTAATGGAATCACATACCTACGTCAAGCATGCATATGAAGGCATGTGACAAATTACATCTCTGAGCCATAAGAGAATTAGTACTGTTGATCATTAATGTGCACATTTCTGTTAGATTTCCACCATAGCAAGACAGATTGGAGCAACCTAAATGGTTTGGCATACTAGGGGTGATAGATCTATCCCAAAATATATCACCAGACCATTTCCAACCCAAACCCGCTGTACCATTGATGCCTCTCCCACCAACCCAGCATCCATTTACATTCTCACTGCATAACTTCTGGATAAAACTGAGTTCTTGCAAAGAGGCCGCAGCTGCCAGGTGTCCATTGTCAGCTTTGCAGTGGGTCTCTGACTGATCCCATGATTGATTGATTGAAATATATTTAAAACACTTTGTATTGCTAGGATTGCTAATCCAGCCAGAAGGGCACAAAGCTGTTCATGAAAAAACAAAACTTTCTTTTATTGGAGAGAGAAGGAGGGAAGGGATGTAGAGAGGGAACATTTCATATCACTCACGAAGAAAAAACTCTAGCAAAAATACTACATGTTAAGGGCAATCCCATGCTCTCATCAAACATAATTCAACAACAACAAAAAATTAGAGTTAAGCAAACTTGATTGATGATGACAGGGGAAATGGTAATACCAAAAGGTCCTCAGCGACACCAACCATAGAATCATGGAAGTTCTTGACGAAGAAAATTTCAATGAGAATAAGGGAAGGCGCCAAAATCTGGGAGCCAGTCTGAAGGGATACCAATTTTTTATTAAATCTAATTATGCAATTCTCGTGAGCAAGCACAAAGACCGTTTCTCAAGGCAACTATTTGGAGATACAAAATCAGCTGAAAGCTGCTTCCTATTCCAGAGCAAGATGAAAAAAGAGGCTTCTTCTGAAGCGGAGACAATAAGGTGCAAAAAGTTTCAACTAAAGTTCAGAACTTCAGTTGAAATTCCTACCATAAAAATTCCCAGGAAAAATTACGTAAAATTTTGATTTTTAAGCAAAATAGCAACTTGATAGAAACTCAGAGCAAATAAAAATTGCACATCTGATTTTTCAACTAAAAAAAAAAACCAGAAATAACAATAAATAAATAAACTAACCTTGTGCACGAGATTGGTTCTCAGAAGATGCAGTTAAATACACATCGACCGACTGATTAAAGCCCTACAAATCAAACATCAATATTACCTATAAACCTTAAAATAACTCAAGTTTAACAGACAACCAACTTTCCTAAATTTCAAAACCTAAAACGGAAAGGGTATAAATATGGCAGGTGTTTGTGTTATAAATTAGATCAAAATTTACACAGTACACTCACTGGATTGGAAGCTCCGAGTCGAAGCAGGGGACAAGAAAATAGCAGCAGCAGCAGCAGCGGAAGCTCAATAAAGATCGCCATTTTCATTTCCATGAGCTTCCTACAGTGACAAGAACCCTAACTAAAATCCATAGCCAATTCGACTTCTGTGTAAATATTACTAATGATAGCTGGTGGATTCATAATGGAAATGGAGATAAGGGTAGGGTTTTTATTTACTGTTCTTCAGTCTTGCTGGTATTGAATTAAATAAGGTAGTTTGGATGTCGTCGGTGTTGAATTAAGAAAAAAACTGTTGACGGCGACGGACGATTACAGACTTTTATTATTATTATTATTATTTTTTCACCATCAGCTTTTTCCCTGTTGAATTAGAATAATGCCACCCGATTCCTAAGGATAACAGCCCCTGTGACCGCGCCCTCACATGGATCGATCCAGTATGAATAAAATAATCTTGACTCCCCATGTGTGTGGAGTCATCCACATGGATTGTTTAGGGAGGTTGATTGAATTACGCTGATTGTACATTATTTGTGGACAACTTGCGTTCTTAAATTTCTTTAACTTTTTGTGGTCACTACAATGGATAATTCACTGACCGTTATAACTTTAAGATTGTGCTTGTTTCGATAAAATTATAATACGATATAAATTGGTTGTTTAAAATCTGAAACTATAGGAAAATTAGAATGGTTCCCAATTGTGCGCTTGAAGGAAAAATTAGGACTAACCTTCCAGCTTAACAAGTAACTAAGTTTTGAGTATCAACTTATTTAAATATTTAGACAGATTGAATGTTAACTTGAATGAAAATCGGATGGTATAATTGTCAAATCACTTAATGTTTTGTCCTGAATTATGTGAAAGTTGCATGTGATTTTAACGTCTATATCAGTGATTTTCATTTCGCAAGAATTCAAAATCGTAAATTTAAGTGCTTGTTTGGTGGTGATTTTAAGCTAATTAAAATATATTTTTTAAATGTTATTTCACTATTACAATTTTCATTTTTAAATTCTTCTCTCGTAGATAGAATCCATTTTTTCTCTAACGATCAAAAAATTAATTCTCAAAATCCCCATCAAACAAGCTATTAAAATAGATGAGTATCAAAACTACGCTATCTAAAAGGTTAGAGAATCCAATTCTAGTTTTTCCCAAAAAATTAGCTTGTTAACTTGCACCAGTAGTAACTAGTAACTTGACATGTTTTAGAAACCACAATAATTGAAGATAAATTAGTTTCATAGCTCGCATTTATAGAACACGATCAATATCGTTGAACACTACTCAAGACATAGAAGATATGCAAGTCCAATTTTAAAATGCATTCATAAATAGTGGTCTAAAGTTAAGATCAATGACAAAATTTCAAGGAGTCGTACAAATGTGGAATCCTCATTTACAATTCTCTTAAAAGAGAGTGACTATGTATTGGGATTGACCAACCACCACGGGTCAATTCCACTTCAAGTTTTCATTATATTTAAAGCCAAAAAAAAATAATAATAATAATAAATAAATAAAAATAAAAATAAAAATAATAGTACCTTCAAAATGCGCTTTCTATAACTATAACATTTATGGACCATTCCTCCTATTAAGATATTTGATGTACATATTGAAAAAAAGCAAGTCGCCCTCTCATTGTATTAGTGCTGTACATTTATCATTTCCCCAATGAGAATGCGTAAAACATTTTAAATTTTAGGAAATTACTTTTAACAGCAAAATAAAAATGGAAATCTTTTCACTGCCATGAAATAGGGAAATTTATTTTACTGGACCCATCAATATTTAAATTTATTCTAAATCACTAAACATAAATTTAATTATTAAAAAAAAAAAAGAGAAAAAAAATCCCTCTTTTTTCAATATAAACGATGTCACGCTGCTCATTCAACTGATACCTTCAAGAAAACACAGAAGGAAAATCAATGGCTCAATCCTTAAACCCTTCAAAAACCCTGGACCTAAATCAGCTCCGACTGTCCAATTCTCCATCAGGATCACCACTGCCAGTTAAATCAATTTCAAAACTTCTGAAAAAGAAAAAAATTCCTTCAATTATGGTCTATGCATCATCAAAAATGTCAAGCACCCAACACCAAACGCCGCTATCGCTTTCTCTCCAGGCATTAACAGATGGAGACCGCAAAACTGAAGTAATGAATACTATAAAAAACTCAGTTTCGAACTGTCTGTCCGAGACCCATCTCGATTTAACTGTTCCTGGACTCAAATCCAAAACCAGAGGCAAGGTAATTTTTTTCTCAAGCAGTCATAATTTTTGTTCAAGAATCTACTAGGGACTTCTTGTTTGGCTGCTGGGTTAAAATATTGAAAAAGATTGGTTCTTTATTGTGATTTAGCACAAGAAAGTTCATTACTGAATTGAGAAATTTTATTTTTTAACTTTCGAAGCCATCTTTAGCTGATTTTGTTGAGAATAGGTTTGATTCTGTCATCTTTCATTTTTTTTTTCCCGCTTGAGGTGATTTACAGAATTGAGATGTTTTCTTTTATCTAAAATTTAATGTTAACAACGCTGTTAGGTTTAATAAAATTAGACGATTTATTATGTCTATAAGTTAAAAAGATTGAATTTTTTTGCTCATTCAAAATAATTTCTCAATGTAAAGTTTTCGATGGAGTTTTAAAGACGGAATATGTTATGAAATTTTACAAATGAAGAGGGCATTATAACTAAAGATTCCATTTGAGGACTTTTTCCTCTGAGATTTGTGGATCATTTATAAATTAAACATTCAGCAAGTTTTAAAAGGATTGCTATTCCATCATCCCAATCACGAAGCTACATGTGGTAGTTTTAATGGAGAAATTTCATAGAGGAATTTAATGGGTGAAAGGGAAATAAATTATGAAGAAATAAAAATAGCTAATGGGCCTTTTAACTTATTGGTAAAATCAAAGTATACAGCTGCTCTAAAGCAAACTCGATTTTTGTAAGAATTGGAGGGCTAATGAGGGGACCAAGGAAAATGGATGTTAAGTGTTATGAAAAATGTTGAACACACATCCCTTTTAATGGCTAATATATGGAGTGTAATCAAATGCTTATTATTCATTAGGGATAAGGTTGGAGAAATGCAATGCTATTAACATAATGCCGATTTCATGAATTTTCTATTCATTTTCTCGACCACCATATAAAGTGTTGAATGTATTGGATGGAAAAATGATGATTAAATTGATGTTGTAGGTCAGAGATATATATGATGGAGGGGATTATCTTGTTCTGGTCACAACTGATAGGCAAAGTGCTTTTGATAGAATTCTTGCTTCAATTCCCTTTAAGGGTCAGGTAATTGTAGTTCTTCATCTCCCATGTTTGAGCTACTTTGCAGTGGGAAAAACATCAAAGTTCAAAAAAATGATTTCTTGTTGAAAATTAACAGCTTTCTACTAATTAAGCTTCATCTTGGTTTTTCTTTTGAAAAAAATTCCTCCTTGTGCTTTTGACTACATATAGGTGCTTAATGAAACAAGTTTATGGTGGTTTAGTGAAACTCAGCACATAACTCCAAATGCAGTGGTATCCTCACCGGATAAGAACGTTACTATCGCAAAGAAATGTTCTGTCTTTCCTGTTGAATTTGTTGGTGAGTTACTCAAATAATTCTAACCATTTTCTGATCCATTTTCTTAATTTTTAAAAATTTTAAAAGGCCATATCTTTCCATGCATACGAGAATTGTTGTGCTTTTTAACACAGTTGCTTATTTGTAGTTAGAGGTTATGTGACTGGAAGTACTGATACATCACTTTGGACGGTCTACAAAAATGGTGTTCGAAATTATTGTGGCAATGCTCTTCCTGATGGTGAGGTTTGTGATTGGTCCATAATGCTCCACTTATACTGCACGTTTGGCTTTATATTGTTCTGCGTCTACTTGTAACAGGCTTGGTGAAGAATCAAAAGCTACCAGAAAATATACTCACACCGACAACTAAAGCTGCTGATCATGATGTTCCTGTAACCCCCCAGGAGGTCTGGATCTCCTAACATTCTTTATAGTCGCTGCAGTTATGAATGTTTCTGTCTTTGCTTATTAGGCTTCTTTTTTCACCTAATCAATACATTATCGAACCTAAATATGATCTCTATTGAGCTTCCCTAATTACCACTAAGCACGACACGAGTTCAAACCACGCCAAGTACGAGTCTGAAGTTCAGTGTCAGATTTAATATCAAGCTGATTCTGTACCATAGTGGCTCTGCTAAAATTATGCTCAGGAGTGTAGTACAAAGTATTTCTTTATTTTTATTTTGAATTTTGAATGTAAGGTTTCCTAGTGCAATAAACGTGGTGATATTCCTCCAGCGTCTTGGGAAATTCCAGAATGCGCTGTTCTCTATCACAGAACATGTATTTGAGAGGGAACCTAAGCGCTATTCATATGAGAGACAGGCAATTTACTTCATAAGGTTTAGCGCTATTTACATTTGAACCATTTTGATAAACCTATTCATAGGATGAATTTTTTAGAATGGGGATCAAAGTTGTAGTTTGGATTGAAGTCAGATGAGGGATAGGGATAGGAAATTTTCTGCTGTTTTGGATAGGTTAATCTGCAGGATGGATTAGCAACTGGTCCTTCACTGTTGAATAATAGACATTTAGTTGTCCATTCTTTATACTTATAATTAAGCATTATTGCCTCCTAGTGGATTTGACAAAAATGGTTCCAAAGGCTAAATATAAAAGAATCAAAGTCAATTATTTAGCCGACGAAGAAAATCGAACTTTAAGCAACCCTACTAATATTTCTTTTTCCATATGTAGAGCCTTTTTGATGTTCATTTTTTTTTTTTTTTTTCCTTATAGCACAAAATAGACTTGCATATCATACATGAACAACATGTGTGAGCTTATTCTGATTCTGTTCTTCAAAAGGATACATTTATTGATGCTCCATCTCATATTTCAACAAACATTTCACTATTCCTGATATTCATGCGCTATTTTTGAGTATATAAATTCGAATGGCTTTGGTCTGAGAGAGAGAACAGTTGGACTTAGAAAGTACGGGAATTTGTGCCAACTAACTTATCTAAAGAGGCAAACTAGCATATATGGCAGATTGAATAATTCTTCAAGTATCAAGGTGTCAATTGCACAATGCTTATGTTGTTCTCAATTTGCATTGCAGATTGTTCAGCGTGGGCTGATGACTCAAGATCATTATTTTGAAGCAAGTACGAAAGCTTTAAGTCTCTTCCAATATGGGCAGGTGCTAATCTCAACTTCATTTTTCTTTCCTTATTCTTTTTACTTATTTAAATATAAGATTTTGCTTATTGCATACTTGCAGACATAAAAAGCAGATTTTTTACCTAATTATTCCATGTACCAAGTTATAGACGATAGGAGCATCATTTTATTTTGTCGTGATGATATGCATTTTAATTTCATATTTAAAATTAAAATGTGATTTTATTCTGTATATAGAAGCATTCCCGTGAGACCAATGCATGCTTGTATCTTTAAGATCAAACATGGATAATGCTGTTTTGCATTTAACACTATTTTTAAACTCAGCAAGTAGCCCTTGAACATGGCCTGATATTGGTGGATACTAAATACGAATTCGGAAAGGGATCTGATGGCACAGTGCTTTTAATTGATGAGGTTATTGATCTATCTTTAAAACTCTTTCTTATTCAAAATATATCCATTTTGTGACAACAAATTCTGATTTTCTACACTGCTGCACGTCAATTTTAGGTGCATACACCTGACTCGAGCCGGTATTGGATTGCTGATTCTTACGAGGAACGCTTTGAGAAGAGTCTTGAACCTGATAACATTGACAAGGTTCATCATAATTCTGACTTGCTACATCCATTTATTATATACTGATATCTTCCATTTGATTAGATCTACAGTATTACTGACTTCTTGGATAACTGAATATTTGGTAGGAATTTTTGAGGTTGTGGTTCAAAGATCATTGCAACCCATATGAAGATGAGGTAAACTTAAATAAAATAACTCTTCTTTTTCTTTATGAATGTGATTTATATGCTGATTCACTGAATCACTATGGTCAACACATTTTTAGGTCTTGCCTGATGCACCTGAAGAACTTGTATCTGAATTAGCTTGGCGGTATGACTTCCATCTCATGCTGAGTTTGTGATTTACATTATTTCATATTTTAGTTAAATGGAAAATTAGCAGCATACCCTTTTTGCAAGCTAATATACAAAACTTCTTTACAACTACACATTCATTTGATTACAGGTATATTTTCTTATACGAGACAATAACGAAGTCAAAGTTTGAAATGCCCATGACTAAGGTAATGAATAGGTGGTAGATAAAACATCTCTCTGTTGGGACAACATTGAGTATTATAGCGTTCAAATTTCAATGTCTTCATGCAGGAACATATACACGACCGGATATCTCGCAATGTTTCACAGGCACTTTCATCTCTGTGACAATGCTGTCAAGATCTAGATCACCTCCCCACATTTTGCCAAAAATATTACAGTGGGATGTGAATCTACTGATATTCTAGGACTCATTTACGAGTTTCCATGAATGGTGAATGGTTCTTTCTTGCTGATCTTTTTTTTTTTTTTGCTTCTTTTCATTTTATTGTTAGCTTTTATCCAGTTGATGTCAAAAATTGTACTATTGACACACAGACTGATGAAAATATTTGATGTTATTGATGGAAGGGAATTTGTATACAAAATAACCTTTATAAGTTTTTAAAACTATGAAAATGGCTTAGTGTTGATGGAAGTTCCCCATTTTCGTAAAGTCGGTATCCTACCTATAATAAAAGGGTTTATAACTTTATATGGGGAGTAACTTTCATGAATTTTGCTACTCAACCAGGGGCCTATGACAGGCCCCTCTGACAGGGGCTGTGTACCTCTTTCATTGTTGTCCTCAACTTGGGTTAAGTTGTTTGTACAGTCCTCAGGGCTGTACAATGTTACAGCCCCCTCACGAGGGGTCCCCACGCTTATGTGAGGGGGCTGTGTGTTTGCAAGGGTGTACAGCAAACATAACTCTCTCAAATTTGTTTTTATTTTGGACGGACCTACATTGCCAGAAGAGGTGGTGATAGGCTGTGCCCGACCCCTCACACGGGGATCAGGCTCACAAATTTTTGGCAATATTTTTTCATGTGAGCCCACGCCATAGTAGGGGGCTAAGGCACCGTTCGGTCGCCAACACCCTGGCTATCCGGATTTTTCCTTTTATTTTCCCCTTTGGCTGACAAAAGGGAGTCATTTATCTTAAAGTGTCTGCTACATAGTTTTCTCATAAGCTCGACTCAACCATGGCCGACTTGTCCTTATGGCTAGGCCACAAAATTCTTGCCCACGTGGGTTATTATTACATATATTTTTTAACATGCTTCATTAATAAATGGCATAACATACATTTTTCTTGAACAATGTTCTTTATCTCTATTAGAGAGATTAGGGATCTACGTGACGTGATTTGCTATGAAATATATGAAAATAAGATTTACTTTATTGATATTATCAATTAATGTCACATCACAAGATGATCATTCAGAACATTATTTTTTTCTTTATTACATTTTTATATACAACTTGTTAATCAACTAATTAAACAAGTTGAACTAACTTATAATGCAAAATAATAAATAAGTGTCCAGATCAACTAAGAGAATTTTATAGGGCGAATATACATTTTTCACGAGATAAAAGTTGATCCGTTGCAACTTGCAATTTTCAGGATCATAAATCATTGCAACTAATTTATATGAGTTTCAATGAATGCTAGGATCGCTACACCAGCTGCCCAAATATCATCGTCTGACACATGCTCGGCTGGGGAATGACTAATACCACCACGACAACGCACAAACAACATTGCAACCTATCGAACATTACA